ATGGAGTAGAGTGGCTCAGAAGTCAGCCTCCCAAAAATATGGTTTTCAGAACTACCTCTTGGCTCTGTGAAGGGAGCAGGCATCGTGCTCATCTGAAGTCTTTGTCCCAACACTTCAGGGCACACAGGCGCACCTGGCACACAGCCCTCCTGAGGAGGCCGATGTGTTCTCATGCCTGGTGTTTCCTGCCTGCTCCCTAAGTATTGTTCAAAAACTCCTGGGACCACTTGGTTTCTGGAACTAGCAAGTGGTATGGCAGAGGAGGATTAGGGACAGATGGGGAGGGGTGAGTAAAAAGATTAGGGTTTGAAGACAGTGATCCCGGGGAACGGGGGCAGTGGTGGTTCAGTGGTAAAATTCTCACCTTCCATGCAGGAGAAGTGGGTTTGATTCCCAGACAATATACCTCATGTGCAGCCACCACCCATCTGTGATTGGAGGCTCGCGTGTTGCTACGATGCTGAACGGGTTTCAGCAGAGCTTCCAGAGTAAGACATACTAGGAAGAAAGGCCTGGAGATCTACTTCCAAAAAATCAGCCAGTGAAAACCCTATGGACCACAAAGATCTGATTCCCTTGTGCATCCAGTTGCCATGAGTCTGGCAACTTAATGGCAGCTGACAACAGCAACAATATATCTCAGGAAGGTATGCAGTATTGAGGGCTTGCCATGAGTAGAGGACTGGGCTGATAACAGTGGAGACATGGCTGATAGTGTATATATGAGGGAAGAGGAGAAGTTAGTGCAGGAGCTAAAATATAGTCTAATAAGTTTTGTCAGTGCCAAAAAGGGAGTCTAGGAAGGAAAAATTATATAACACAGATTGAACCAAGCAAAATTAGAGTTCCAGTCTTCTCTGGTGAACCAAATAAAACATGAGATTAGGCTGCTTTGGACTTGGTCACTCCAATGCAGCACACAGAAACAGTGACACTTCCCACTTTTGTTCTTCTCTGAGGCACCCTGAGGGTTAATAAAGGGGCTGGTAGTGTAGTGTATGCTGTCACGGAGGATCACATTCAACATAAAAGAATGCTTTTGGTGTCAGAAATGCAACCCTTTCACAATCTCAAGCCCCATAAAAGCCAGTAGGCGCACACACGTGTGTATGCATGTGGTGTATGTGTGTGTGTAAGAGAGCTATGTGGAGGCGGGAGTATAGTCTAGCAGTTAGCTGTGAGTCCTATGCTTACTGCAGAAATCTTCCATTGTCTCACTTTGTGACCTTTAATGAGTCATACGCTCTTTGTTTTCTTATGTGTAAAATGGAGATACTCGTGCTTGCTGGTTATTAAAGCAGTCCTTGTGCTTCAGGAGCCTGCAAAACACTCTTAGTTTTGTCATATTAATTCAAATGCCCTCTTCTAATGTTTTCCTCTGGGTCTTATAGGAAAGGGTAAGGGCCCAGCCTTACTGGGTCTTCCTCCCTTGTGGCTTAGGATCCCCACAGTGAGTGCGGGAGGACAGTGACAAGGTATGTGAGAGATGAGACTTCTCATAGAAAGGTCTGGGTTCTGCAGGATCCTGATACTCTGGTTGATGTGCTTTTACCCTTGGGGATGAGGCAGCTGCCTGGAGCAGCTGGGGTAGAGGAAAGGAAGAAGGTGGAGGGAAGATCCGGTGAGGTGTGAGTCAGTGTCATGTTTCGAATCAAGCCATGAGTTGGGTACAGCAGAGGCCCTGGGGGCTGGAGGTGGGGCTGCAGGGACCAGATGGCAATAGTTCAAGAGGCAACTGTCATGGGACAAGAAGGCAGCTGACCAGCTGGTACTAAAGAAGACCTGATGTGCTCATCTTGGTATCATACAGGGGTGGTAAATACGTGGCATCTGTGATACCATTCCCCACCCTCTGTGCCCATGGCAGGCATCACTGATCTATCATGATATGCTTTCCTGTTGTACTCAGATATGCCTCCCTCCTGTATGTACAGAATTTTGGATAGCTGTATCTATCTATCAATTGGCATAAGAGTTTAAACTTACTGTGTGTCACTGCTGTGATAGAAAGGACATAGAGTTTGGAATCAAGCAGAAGTACATTCAAATGACAGCCTAGCCAGGTGCAAGCTTTGTGGCATGGAGCAAACATATTAGTCAGGTCTTATTTGTTTGCAAGGGAGAGAAACCCAATTCAAATTAGCCTAAGCTAAGTTACTTATGGGAAACCCTGGTGGCATAGTGGTTAAGAGCTACAGCTGCTAACCAAAAGGTTGGCAGTTCATATCCACCAGGCACTCTTGGAAACCCTATGGGGCAGTTCTCTGTCCCACAGGGTCGCTATGAATTGGAATCGACTCGACGGCAATGGGTTTGGGTTGTTTTGGTTTAAGTTACTTATGTAAGGTAACAGGAAAGCTCTGCGTGGGGCTTGCTTCAGGTATGGCTGGATGCAGGAATTCAATGAGGTTGTTAGAGTCTGTCAATGTTCTGATTGGCTAAGCTGGGTCATGTGCTTCTTTCTGAACTGATCCCTATGGGGAACGGGAGTGGTGGTGGGAGCAGTAGGCTCTAGACAGCGGGTCACACTGGGAGCAGCGTTATCTCGAAGGTCAAATGTGGAAGAATAATCCCAAGATAAGAGTTGGGGATGTGGCTGGGAGGGGCTCCAAGTCTTCATCTGTACACTAGTGATGTGCAGGTGTGGAGAGGGAAGACCTTAACAAGGTAGCTTGTTCTGAACCCAGCAGCTTCTCAGGGAGAACCTTGTATACACTGAGCAGAGAAGGAAGTCATTGTGAGTGGACTCAGAAGTGACATACGTGCAACTGGTCTGGCTGCTCCAGCTACATCCCCTGGAAGTGGCATCCAGGGGTTGGTAGGGTGTGGGTAGAGGGACACTTTCAGGAAGACATCTGGGTAGTAACCACTGCCCACAGTATCACCCCAGGCTCTGCGGCTTCTCTTGATCCTGCTGCATGTGGCCAGTTGACTAGTGGTGCCAGGTCTCAAGATTAAGTACCTGTCCTGGGAGGTTTGGGTTCAGGTTCAGGTTCATGCTGAATGGATCACTTGGCAAACCTGACAGGATTCTAGAGTGAGGCACTAGCCTAACAGACTTAGGAGTGTTCAAGTACGTGCAGTCTCTTAGGGACATGCCCACGGTCTTGATGGCTCCAGTTCCTTTAAACCAGGGCCATATAGACGTGCCTGCTCAGGTAAGCCCATCTGGATCCTACTGGTTCCTCAGGGTTCTTTCCGGACGGTGTCCCTCTAATCCCACCTTGCTGAGCCCTGCCACACACAGCTCCCTTTGTATATATCTAACGCTGTATAATAAATCACCCCAAAACATAGTGACTTACAATGACAACAAACATTATCTCTCACAGTTTCTGTGGGTCAGAAATTCAAGAAGGGCTTGGCTGGGCAGTTCTGGTTTGGGGTCTTTCATGAGGTTGCAGTCAGATGGTTAGTGGAGCAGCTGGGGACTGGCTGGGTAGCTCACTCTCTCCATGTGATCTCCTCCTATAGGCTAGGTTGGCCTTTGTCACAGCATGGTGGCTTCAGGGTATCAGGTTGCTTTACATGGCAGCTGACTTCCCCTAGAGTGAGCATCCCAAGACAGTCAGGTGGGAACAGCATTGCCTTTTTTTTTTTTTTTTTTTGACCTAGCCTTGGAAGTCATATGGTGTCACTTCTGCTCTACTCACTTGGTCAAATACCCACCAAAAGCCCATCCCATTTTAAGAGATGGGGCATAGATCCTGCTTCTCAATGAGGGGGGTGTCAAAGAATTATCTGACATGTTTTAAAGCCATCACGGCCTCTCTACCTCCTGCTACTTAACCAATGCTTGACACCCAGACGAGTTTGTGGTGCCTGGATGTGACCTTATCTTGGTCCATCCCCCTCATTCTATTATATTTATTTTTATTTCTTGGAATTCAGATGTATAGAGTTGAGTGAATCATACTCTTCAGTTTATGGTGCATTTATCATTGATTCATGCAATTGCCTCTCTTATTCATTCATTCATTATTCTCCTTGATCTTCATATCCTACTCTAATTTTCCTCCTCCTCACCTGTCTTGTTATCTAGTGCTGCTGTAACAGAAATACCACAAGTAGATGGCTTTAACAAAGAGAAATTTATTCTCTCACAGTTTAGTGGGCTAGAAGTCCTAATTCAGGGCTCCAGCTCCAGAGAAGAGAAAGGCTTTCTTTCTCTGTTAGCTGTGGAGGAAGGGCCTTGTCATCAATCTTCCCCTGGTCTAGGACCTTCTTAGTGCAGGGACCCTGGGTCCAAAGAACTCACGTGCTCCTGGCTCTTCTTGCTTGGTGGCATGAGGTCCCCGTGTCTCTCTGCTTGCTTCTCTCTTTTATATCTCAAAAGAGATTGATTTAAGACACAAGCTAATCTTGTAGATTGAGTCCTTCCTCAACTAACGTAACTGCCTCTAATGCTGCCTCATTAACATCATAGAGGTGGGATTACAACACACAGGAAAATCACATCAGATGACAGAATGGTGGGCAATCACACAATACTGGGAGTCAATGCCCTAGCCAAGTCGACACATATTGTTGGGGGACACAATTCAATCCATGACATCACCTTACTTAAGCAATCATTCTATTCTATTTAATAAATATCTTTTTATTTGTGTGTGTTCTTATACATATGTAACTTTAATTTACATTGTGTACTTATTCTTCATCTTCCTTTTCTCACTGTTGCCATGTTTCTAAGGCCCATACATGCTGTAATGCATACATCTAACCTCTTGCCCTCCTAAAAGGAGGCAGGCTCAGGGAGGGGGCATCACATGTCTGCAGTCACGCAGCTGACCAAGGCTGAACTAGGACTGTTACAGATTTCCTGACTCTCTCCTCTGCATCACACATCGGTGTTTCCAGTGTGCCACCTCTCAGGCTTCCACAATATCTTGAAATAAGATTTTTTAAAAATTGCGAGTCTGAGATCCAGAGCTTGTCACAAGGTCACCTGTTTTCTTTCTAGTAACTGTTGTCCTCTGTCCTTGCTTCATGCAGGTTCCAACTATGGGAGCCCGCGCCCAGCTCATGCCAACATGAATGCCAACGCGGCTGCGGGGCTCGCCCCTGAGCACATCCCCACCCCAGGGGCAGCCCTGTCTTGGCAGGCAGCCATTGATGCAGCCCGGCAGGCCAAGCTGATGGGCAGCGCTGGCAACGCGACCATCTCCACAGTCAGTTCCACGCAGCGGAAACGGCAACAGTATGGCAAACCCAAGAAGCAGGGCAGCACGACTGCCACGCGCCCACCCCGTGCCCTGCTCTGCCTGACTCTGAAGAACCCCATCCGGAGGGCATGCATCAGCATCGTTGAATGGAAATATCCTTTGAGCTCTGGGCCGGGCACGGTGCTCTGAGGAGCCCTGGGGTGTGGGGCAGCCCTCCAAGGCTTACCAGGCAGTGGGCTGTGTTGGCAGTGCTGAGCCTACAAACTGGTTCTCTGCCCACTGCATCTGCATCCCTGGAGCACTGTTAAGTGCAGAGTTTAGGCCCTACCCCAGACTTGATGAGTCAGAACCTCTGGGGAAAGACCCAGGAATCTGCTTGTTTAACAGCTCCCCAGCTATTATTTTCATACAGTAAGCAACATTTGAAAAAACGAGCCTTAGAGGTTATGAAATATCACCACACCTAGCTGAGCCTGCCCAGGGATATACATGAGAGATTGGGCTAACAGTGATTCCATGCCACTTCATAACCTTCTTTCCCCTCCTATGTCATGGCACCAGGATAGTTTCATGACCTCATCCCTCTCTAGGGTGAAGGGTCCCAGGAGATGCAAGAGGGCAGTGGTCAGTGACTTCGGCTCTTAGCCCAAGGGCCTAGAACAGTGGTTCTCAACCTTGGCTGTACATTAGAATCACTTGGAAAAGATGTCTGAGCTCCACCCAAGACCAATTAATGCAGACTCTCTAGGGAAGGGCATCATAGATTTTTAAACTCTCCAGGTGATTCTAATGCACTGCCAAAGTTGAGAACAGTGACTGGAGTTTTCACCGAGATCCACTTTGTACATACAGAAACCAGTGAATGGGTCCTTCAGAGAAAATGGCTGTGAAGGGTTGGGCTCTCACTGTGGAATTACAAACGCCTTAGCACCAGGAATCATGGGGTCATAGAGACGGAAAGGACCTTAAACATCAATAGGCCCATCCCTGACTTCACCAGTGATGAAGTGGAGCCCTACAGAAGTGACTCTTCCAAGGTCACCAGTCAGTGACAGAGCAGGACTAGAACCCTGATACTTGGGATATTTTTATACTAAGAATTCACTCGGGCAGGACTACCATGTCCTCAGGGTCTTGGGATGGGAGTGTTAGGTTTCATTAATGGGTTTCGATGAAAAGATTTGAAAGTCTTGGGTAGTGGTTGAAAGGTAAAAGAAAACAACCCGAGGGTAGAAGAAAGTTTTTGTTTAGCAAGAAATGTGAACCGTGTAAATGGTTGAGCCCCTCAACACAAAAGTAGGTTTAAGCGAATGCGATTCAAAACAAGTGGCTGCTGCAGAGCTGGCCTGTCTGTTCTGAATGGCCAATCACGAGTTTCGGTCCCCAGGTGACTTGGGGAGACTTGGCTTTGCTCAGCCCCTGACAGGCTGCTTTTGTAGCTGCCCACTGCAGAATCACGGAGTTGAAGAACTAGTGGGCCATATAAATTAGGCACTGCCTGGGAGAAAAGGGGAGTGAGGCCCAGAGAAGCCAAAGAACTTGCCCTAAGTCACAAAGCTGACAATTAACAGAGCTGAGTTTCAAATTCAGGTTTCCCTGGTCTAAAAATCCATGTTCTTCCCTCACCCTTTGCATCCATGGTATGGAAGAAGGTACTAGGATAGACACTCAGGGGAGTTGATATAGTTCTTGCTAGGACCCAGTGGGACCTGGATTTGGCACCTGGACACCTGCTGCCGTTGTGGTCCTGCCACCTGTGTTCTGAGTTGTCAAGGCCTCTTTTAACCTCTTCGGTTTCCTATCTGTAAAAGAGAGTAATAGCAGTCACCTGCCATAGTATCGTAAGGGTTAAAAAAAAAAAAAACACAAAAACAACCTATTCCCATGAAAGCACGCACAGAAAACCCACCACATGAGAGATGTCTAGCAAACATTAGTTACTTTAGTCCTCTCTTCGCTTCCTGGGATGGACTACTCCCTGACGAGGAGGACTGAGTGTAGAATAAAGTTCTGGTGGATGTGCAAAGCCTGGAAAGAGGGGAAAGAGGGCGGGAGAGCACACTGCCTCAGCAGACAACGGTGATACAGAGGGCAAGTCGGGGCTCCGTAACTGGACAGGTGTGAGGTGCTGTCTACTGCCCCAGGAGGTTGGAGTTAGGGGCTCTTGAAAAGACCCTTGACGGAGTCAGTCACGGTGTTAACAAGGGCAGTCACCCAGTCTGCTAACTGTGAGCCTTGGCCACCTCATTGCAGCCCCAACTGTGGCAGAGGGGTGCTGCATCAGCCCCCCTGCCGAGGAAGATGCCTCCCAACTGGAGGAGGGCAAGTGTACCCAGCCTCAGCAGCACTGGTTGGGCAGAAATCCCAGATTGTCTTAGAAGGGTAGCTGGACAGGTAAGCAGATAGCCAGGTGTGCTAGCCAGTCAGTTCTCCTAGAAAAAGTGGAATCTAACGCTGTCATTAAGAGAAGGCAGTTTAAAAAATGATCTGGTCCTCACAGGGTGACACAGAACACTTCCAGGCTTACCTGGGTTCTCCCCTGCTTTTTAGCTGATGGCTTTTCTTATCTGCCCACCAGATGATGGGACTGAAACTGACCGGCTGCTGGGCTGAGTGTCACTTTCCTAAACAGGTGGGAAAAAGGTTAGACGGGGAAGAGGGAGGAGGTGACGTGATAGGAGATCTAGAAGAACTGACTCTATACGAATACTTTAGGGTAACTTTGGAGTAAAACGATAGAGTAGTTCTTGAAAACTCAGTCTCTGGAGCCAGGTTTCCTGGGTTTGAATCCCATGCTACCTGTAGTTGCGTGACCTTGGGCAAGTTAGCATTTACCCTTCCTGTGCCTCAGTTTCCTCATTTAGAAACGGGGGTGATAATTGTACATTCCACTCAGGGTGTTTGTTTAGAGCAGTTAGAACAGTGCCTGGCACACAGTAAGCTCTCAGTAAATGTTAACTGCTGTAATGACTGTTACCATCATCATCATCATCATCAACATCACCAGCATCGTCACTTTTTCCTTGGCTTACTCAAGGTGCAGCATGATGTACTGGAAAAGATTAATCAGTAGGCCTGGGTTCTGGACTTGGCTCTGCTATTTACCAGTTTGGGATCTTAGAGATGTTGTTTAACTTCCTACATCTGTCGAGGTGGGTGGTTAGAGAGGTCCATTGCTTGCCATCTTTTTGATATCAAAGCATACATAGAAAATGGTAACTCTTATGTGACATGCTCTGTGAATGGACCTTTGGGGAGACCTGTAGGGCTGAAGAGGGTTCAGTAACCAAAACACCAGTTAGGAAGCTCTGGACTAGCTGATCCCCAAGATTCCTTCTAGTTGCAGAATTCTGTGACATGGCCCAGGCTTGTCCTGCTAACACATAGGAGGCAGTCTATTGCAGGGGAATGAGCACTGGACTCGGTGGTCAGTGAATCTGCGTTCCAGTCCTGGCTGATCATTAACTCACTGTGGGGCATTGAAGAAGTTTCTTCAGCTCTCTTGGCCACAGGGGTTTGGACTCAGTGATCTGTAAGGTCTCTTCCTGATTTAAAACTCATTAACTTTGTGAGTACAGGTTTTTCTGGGATAGGGTTTTGAACCAGTTCATTCAGATTTGAACCTCTGCTAATAATTTGCATTTCCACCCCAGATACACTGAATCAGAATAAAAATTTTAACAAGATCCCCAGGTGATTCTTATGTATAATAAATTTTGCTCTACTAGTGGTTCTCAGAATTGGTCCCTAATCAGCAGCATTAGCATCACCTAGGAACTTGATAGAAATGTAAACTCTCAGCAGGGGTTTGAACCAGAATGAACAGGTTCAAAGCCCTGCTCTTGGAGAATTAAGTTGCCCTCACCCAGGAATTTCCATACCTCTTTCTTTTCCTTTTCCTGTTAGACTTCACATAATAGCCTGGAAACTTGACACTGAGGGGTGAATGGAGCTTGGAAAGTATACACTGGGCCCTTCCATTGAAAATTCCCCTTATCTTCAATTGTGGGTGTGGGGTAGGTTACATTGGAAGGGATATTATCACATTAGCTCATTTTTCTCTTATGAATGCATCCTGCCTGGTATTTTGGTAAAGTAATCAGGGCCTGGGAACCTCCCTGAGTGGACTGCTGATGGCGAGTGAGCCCCAGGGTGTCCCTCCAGATCCCAGCAAATAGCAGTGGGAAAGTCAAGAGGACCTAGAACTTAAGTGTTGCCCACTGAAGGCAGTGCCTCCACAGACTGAAGAGATTTCACATCTTCTCTTTGAAACTGTGCCTTAAAGGAAAGACAGTACCCATCCCACCTTGCTCTTGGGGATCCTGAGCCCCTGGCCTGTCTTCAAGTTCTCCGGAAGCTGTTGGAGGATAAGGGAGAAAAAAACAACACAACACTCGGAACTTTAGTTTAAAAGATTAAAACCCAAACCTCCCAACTTTGATTAAAAAGATTAAAAATCAAATCTCCCTCCTGTCTCTCCTTCCCCGAGCCTGCCTAGCTGAGTCCCCAGAGGGTAGGTGTGTAAGCCCTGAGGAAAGGGGTGCCTGGAGTGGTGAGTCCTGTCTGAGACAGGCACTGATCTTTAAAAGCAACCCCAAATACACATGACGGAAGATGAAGTCAAATGCAATCTAAATAAATAAAAGAAGAGGAAAAAAGTTTTTAGAAATCTGTGTTTACTCTGGCACGCGACTGGCCTCCACTGCTTTTGACATATTAGGAAAAATTTTGGCGGGGACCCACGAGAAGCTCTTAAAAAGGCATATGTTTCTTTTCAGAATACAAGGGGCTTGGAATGCATTGTTTAAACAAAATTCTTATGAATCTTTGATTCATTTTTGAAAACATATATAGATGTATGTTTGTTTCACTTGTACTTTCTGCGGCATTAACTTCCTTAACTCCTTTCCTCAGACCATTTGAAATAATTATTTTACTGACTATTTTTGCCAATTGTGTGGCCTTAGCGATCTATATTCCCTTTCCAGAAGATGATTCCAACGCCACCAATTCCAACCTGGTAAGTCTGACTTCCTTGAGTTGCTGCTTTTCTTACCTAATGGAGAGCTGGCTTGAATCATGTGGATTCAAGTTGGAACGTGGAAGGGAAGGAAGAAGTGCATGTGACAAAAGCACTGCAGAGCTCCAACCTTGAGTGCTATTTTGCTCTTTATGCAAATCAGCACCTGTCTTGTCACAGCCTGTTTTCAGAAAGAATATTCCAATTAGCTAGTAGTGAGCTCTGGATGTGTGTGAGTGTGAGTGTGTGTGTGTTTTGAGTAGCGAATCCTGTGAGTGCTACCAAATGTGCTGTGTAAGTCCCCCATGCAGGCATCTGCAGGAGCCGGCTTTTATTCTTAGATCATTTGTTGTATTTGTTTTCTTTCTTTCCATTGGTGGGGTCTTGCTCAGGTGACCTGCAACATTGCTGCACGATAAATAATTCTAGGAAGCTTTTAGGAAAGTTTGCTTTTGAAGCCAAGATGTATTATTTAGTTAAAAAGGTTTCATTTTCTTGGGAAAGGCAGCTTTGCATTTGGATTGTTGGGAGGCCAGTGTTGGCAATTGGGGTTAGGATTTGTCCATGGAAAAAGTGGAGACTATGTTTACTTTTGGCTGAGTATGAAGTCATTACAAAGGCCTTTGCTCCGTCTGGGCATGTGAGGAAAAGAGCTCTGGAATGCAATTGGCAAAATTGGGGCACTCTGTGATGCCTCTGCTATAGGCCTGTAGGAAAATCCTGTCTCTCTCTCCCCTTCCCCTGCAAAGACACCATTACTTTTCATGTGACTTCCACAAGGCGTGGTTGGTCACCAAAGCCACCATTTTTCCCCTGTCCCCAGCATCCTCCTCTAATTAGTGAGATTGGCTGTCTGATGAGATCACTTTTAAAAGAAGCAGGAGGGTTCCAGAAGTCTCCTTTCCATTGTTGCCAGTTGCTAATGCTATCACGGGTATATATATA